CCCTAGACCCCTAAATCCCTAAACCTACCTTTGGTTACTAGGGAATGGAAGAATGGTAGTAATGGTACTTATAATAGTTCCCATTCCTCCATTCCCTTAAACCCTAAACCCTAAACCTACTAACCAAAGGTAAGGACTTGCGGAGGAAGCCGCCACCAGGCAAAGCGTCGCCGTCAGACGCAGCGCTGCTGGATGCCACGAGACCGGCTCCGAGGCCTCTTCCCCCAAAAAGTTATTCTATTATATTATATTGTACTATAGTATATATATATATATATAGATAGTATAGTACTATAGTATACTATGGCATACAATATAATGTACTCTAATATACTATGAACTGATTGCAGCTACTGCGAATGTTGGGCCGCGTGCCTTGGCGCCTCCTGTGGGGCAGTGCAGACCTCCATGGCAGGTGACAGGAAGCAGGAAGGGCGACTGTGCGTGTGCCCTGTACCTAGGCCACAAAGCGAACCCGCCAGCATGGGCCTGACCACAAGAACTGGCCGCATCTGCCATCATTTTGTTGCAGTCATGTTCTGGGCCCCCCGACGGAAGCAATGCAAGCCAGGCCTGCGGAAAGCCGAAAGGCTTGCCCACGACCCCGAGAGCAGTTTGCTGACTTGCTTTTGTGGTGCCTGCGACAGTGGGAAGTGCAGATCTTGGGTCCACCTCGGCAGATACTTCCCATCTCGGCAGCTCATGCCACGCTGTGCCACCACGCCGTCTAGTGTTCATGCGCTGCCGCTGCAGCTCGCAGCATCCCATCGCCGAGGCTAGCGCTCGCTGAGCTCAAGGCGACACCTTACACCACCGGTGCAAAAATCTGCGAGGATCTGCCGCGCTTGAGGCGAGCGCCAGTCCGAGCCACTGGAAGAGGCGAAGAGTCTCCGCAGGAAGGGCTTTGCGACCTTAACGTCAACCTCGCTTCGACGTCCTGCAAGCGGCAGGATTCAACATCTCTGCTGACACGAAGCCTCTTGCACTGAAGCCCAAGCTCGAGCAACTTCGTGGAAGGCAAAAGCCGAAGACCTGCGCGCGTCACAGGAAGAACAAGCACGTGCTCGCCGCGGGCGCAGCCACGAAGGCTTCTGGGTTGCTTGCGAATGTCTTCGGTGGCGCCACATGGTGGAAGGAGAGCTCGCCAAACCAGAAACCTGAACAGATGCTGTATCGGTAGACCTCCAGCATCTCTGCTTAAATTTGAGATCCCAAAACATATCAACGGAATGCTACCAGGTGTTAGCTGAGTCCCACACGATGCCCCAACGACCAGCAGAGCCTACAATTGCAGGATTGACCATCAAGGGCCGCGACAGCAGAACGGTTCTGTGAATCTAGACCTGTGGGGCACTTATGCTGCGTATGGTTTGTCTACGTCAGGAAGCTACGGCACTGGGAAAACAACAGTACCTTCGATCAGACTTTCAGCACTTCAGTCATTGGTCTGCCGGACCTGACAATGGCTCTTCAGGAGTTGGAGGGATCACGAGGCTCTTGGACTCGGAAGGAATCTGATTCGGTCTCGGGACTTCCGGCATCTTCCGGCGAGCCGTGCACTCGGCCCAGCTACTTGAAGTCTGGCCGGCCTGGGTTTACCCCGGTCCGGTGCCACCACCGAAGGCCTGGCACGAATATGAAAAGCACTTGACATTGAAGCTCAAGCTCGAGTTCAATGAGTTCAAACACGACATGAGCTTTCAGCAATGAGAGCTAAAGGCGGGCTTCGTGCTTCTGGCGGCAAAGCCCACATGTGCTGTACAGGAAGATCAGCTGCTAGAACACACTGCAACAGTCTGCCCGCTGCTCTCCCGCATGAAACCAGGTCGAGGCCGCAAGGACGCCGTCTGACTGGAAAGCTCTTGGAATATCGGATCTGTCCAGAACCTGGCATGGAGCTCTAGCTGCATGGGCAATGATCTCAGCCTACAAAGAGGCAGGGGCGACTCGTGGCAGGCCTCTGCCTCCCAAGAGCAGAGCTTGAAGTAGCCACATACGAAACAAAATCCGAATCGGGCTAGGGCCTGGCTAGGATGCTAGGGCCTGGCGAAGGGGGGGGGGGGGGGGGNNTCTGCCTCCCAAGAGCAGAGCTTGAACAGAGAAGACCCAAAACAAAGAGCCCAAAAGACGTGAAACGGTCTACCACTATAGGGCGGCTCAGGGCGGCCTTCGGTCGAAACAGAGGTCCGGCCTCCTCGCGAACTTCCTCTTGGAGCTTCGAGTCCAGCGGCCCAGCAGCTGGGCCTGGACATGGACATGGCAATAGCAACGGGCTGCGACAGCGGGTGCTGGCGGTGAGGAAAGCTCCTCCGACTGGTGTCGGCTCTGGAACGCAAGAGTTGAAACAGGAGCCGCAGTAACATCGCTTTGCCATGCTTTGCCTAAAGATCTGCGATGAAGTCGGGTGCCGAGCCCAGGGTCTCGACTCCGTGTCGTGTGCCCGTGTGCAAGTGCTTCGGCCGGGCGCTCCAAACCTGGCCTCCACCAGTCAGGCCCGCTGTGGGAGAGCTGGCAAGATCCTTGGCAGGTTTGCTGAGCAATCAAGTAGAGCGGCGACGGATGGAGAGAAAGTGCGAAACTATGGGAAGGCATGCTGGGCCAAGAAAGAGGCTGGGAACGCTGGCAAGGTGGCGATGAAATTAAGGGAAGGAACTACACCCGATCCAATCAGCAAATTGGCGCTACATGTGCTACTAGTACTGAGTTGAAGGCAAGTCTCTTGCCGTCATCAGGCGCCAGCGAGATGTCCTGCAAAACAGCACCGACAGATCCCGAGCGCTTTTTCCAAAAGCCAAGTCCGGCGTGCTAAGGTCCTCGTCGTTTCCAACCACGGCCTGAAGCAATCCACGCTAGTTGGCAAACTCTTGACAATCCAAGATGCTCGGGGTGCGACAGCATCTATCCACAGCAACGCCCCGAAGGGCACGCGCTCCCCATCGGCAAGACTCCAGATGCTGTATGCCTGCCGGCCAAGACCCCCATCATGCCAGCTCTGCAGGCATGACCCCATCCGACCTTTGCGCCCGGCTCTTCAGGAGCCCGAAGTTGGAGAGCTATTGGCACGGTACTGCCCACAGGCACCTTCTCAGCTCAAGGCAGCCTTCGTCGTAGGCATCGCACCGCATCCTACCTCCTGCAGTCGGAGACCAGCAGGGCCTCCCATGGTGTGTCCGTCGCGCAACGACAGCACCTGGGCCGCACGCGCACTTCTATGCTGCGGCTATGCTGCTATGCCCGAACGCCAGAAGCACATGACATGCTGGAGTGATCTTCAGCATTCGCCAAGTGACGGTTCCGGGTGGCCAGGGTCTGCTCCCAGTGTTAGCTGCCAGTCACACGAACATCTCAAAAATTTCTCAACAATGCAGTAGGTTCAGTGCTAGCCCGAGAATCTTGCAGCTGCAGTCCACCCGTGCGCATTGCTCCGCGCGACGATATCGGGTTTGCCCACTTCTGGCCTATGACGATGTGAACCTCGAAGGCTTCTCCTGGCCTTCGCTGGACATACCTCCAAGCCCAGGTATGGAAAGCGGGAAACCTGTCGGCTGCTGAGCGCTGGGCTCTGTCTCTGCTGGCTCCTCGCGAGACCCAGACACGTGGCCATTCGCGAAAACTCCGAGCGTCAAAAGTCTGCTCTTGCTGAGGCTGTGACCCCGCAGGACAGAACTGGTGGACCGCCCGCGATGCTGGCCGGACGAACAAACCAGGGTTTCTTGTGCCTTCCAAGACTTCAGGAACACTCACAGACTCCGAAGATGGCCACAGCCGAGACGCTGCCGGCAAGCATCGGGATCCAGCCTTTGCAAAGAGGGGCCCTGGCTGACTCCGCCCCGCTGACCGGAGTGCCCAGGGGCCCGGCAGGCCATGGTCTGTCCCGTCGATCCACACGGCAGCTGAGGCAAGGAAGCAGAAGTTACAGTAGCAGGAAGCGGCCATGGGCAGGTTTCCCTTGGTGATCGGCCTGTGTCCAAACCACTGCGCTCTTGACGCCAGTCCATCCTCACAAGCTTCTTCTGTCCAAGTCCAAGGCAACAGAACGGGACGGGCTCAGGGCAGCACCAGGCTCGCAACTCTGATGGCACCGGAGGTGTTCGCAGCGAGCCATACGGGCCTTGAGTACACGGCAGTCGCCACGCGCCAGGAGGTCCAAGAGAGTTCTCTTCCCGCCTAGCAAAGAGCCACCACGGACAAACTTGGCCATGAAGATCTTCGGAGAATCGGCACTCTCTGTGGTGCAGGACCTTGAATTCCACCAGGCATGATCAGCCACGGGGGCAGCTGAATGTCAGCACGAACTACCGGTCACACTATCCTTCGAGAGCAGAGTTCTGAGTGGGCGCTGCAGGCAACACCCGTCTCAGATCCGAGCGCATGAATGGAGCGCATGTTAACCTGCACTGAGAAGCGGTCTCCCCGTCTACTTACCAGCTTCTGCACGTCCCGACACTTCCGAGCGAGGAGAGCCTTGCTGTCACCCAGCAGATGGTAGTAGAGAAGGGCGTCCCCCTGGCCTCGAAGCATCCAGGCACTGGGAAAACCTCCGAGGAACCTCTGCCCCCTGAGTTTTCTGGCGGAGCCGCAAGGGAGCCTTGACAGGGGCGGTAGCTGACCGTGCATGAACACACCGCTTAGCGCGGCCTTGCGGCACACCTCCGCGAAAGCTTCGTCCAAAAAGCCTCTCACACTCACTTCCTATCTGCAGTACACATAGTAGGAAAACCTGATCCTGAGACAGCAACCCAAGGACTTGAAATTTCGTCCGGTCCCACTGCCACGCCACGGCAGCTCGTTTCCCTGCGAAAAACGGGTGCCAGACGTGTGGTTCACACACAGCAATAATTAGGTGCTGAATGTCCTCACACATGTTCTCACTTCAGTCGTGCCCGGTCTGTCTGCGCAACGACAATTAAGAAAGACGTGGTCCGCAAGACCCCAAAGCCAGTTCAATGGAGAAGGCTGCCTCATGCGACAGCTTCTCAATGAGAGTCTCATCCTGTCCGCAGGACCATCACGTACGCAAGCATCTCGAAAGACATGGTAGGACAAGTTCAGCTCCTCGGCAAGCGCATGCGCTGCAGGCCTCAGCCAGCACGGCCATTCCGACTGGGCAGGTTCGGCGAGTGGCAGGATCGGCGAGTGATCTGGACCGGGCCATTTTGCCAAAGGGAAAGCCACGCCCACAGGGTCGTCCCGCAACCTGACTAGCACCTGTCATGCGTCGCACCCAAACATGTTTCCGCCCACACAGCATTCTGGGGTCCGCTCCGTTGCGACGCGCACCGGGAACTGGAAATGGTGGTACGTATCCATGTGAAGATCTTGACCTGCAAAAGAAGTGCATGACACTTTGAGTCTCGAGGGTCTTGGCAGCCCCGTTGCTTTCGCGCTCCCCGACCTCGACGGGACTTGTCCCAGTTGAAGAGCCAGGCTTCCTCCACCTGGTCCTCGCACATTTACCACGCAACAGCTTGTAGTAGTACGATGCCAGCATCAAGATGAGCGTCGGCGGGATGAGAGCAATACGCCCTGCGCAGGCGGGTCGCTCGTCGGAGACTGCTTAGATACAGCATGGATTAGATCGTATCCAGAGCCAAGAACCTGGGAGCAGTAGTGCAAACTGGAAGCTGTGTCTACGACTAGCTAAGGCGACAAAACATGTATATAGAAGTGTTTGTGCGCGTTCTTGCTGCCGCCGGAGGTGGTCGTTAGCAAGGTCCAATTCAACAGCTCCAGCCAAAGTGCCTTCCGCAGCATGCCCGTGTTCGGACTGTCCGTGCTGTCTGGACTGCACGCGAACTGGAACCAGGAAAGTAGATGAAACACCACTGGAAACCACGATTATCTCCGAGTGCTGATGAAAGTTCTGGAAACTTACTGTCCTCGTCTCCCATGAGTCTACGGGCACTCACGCGATGCGCATGGGGGGGCCGTGTGTTTTGAAAACCTACGAGTATATGACAGTTTATGTGGTGAATCATGCTAGTAGCCTCTGTGGCATGCAGGCCTGTTGTACATATGAACCACGCGAGAACTGGTCAGATTGGGCAGCGCAGAGTCCTCCAGCACACCAACCGTCGAAGCAATCCGTTCGTGGACGTTTACCATGGCCTGGGCCATGCGATGCATTCTCCACGCTTCAAGGAGTCTCGAGGCATCTCCCTTCGCTTCGCCTGGCTTGCGAAGACACGTCGATCCGATTGGAAGTCGCAGCGGTCACCTTGGAAGCACCGCCGCGCTGGGCGTGGGCTGGCAGAGAACTTCTTCAAAATGGAGTTAGCTGTCTACTGGGAACTCCATCCACTCGTTGCCCGAGGGCGCTGCCAGCCGCTGGAGTGGACTCGCAGAATGACGACGGGAATCGCCGCATCTCAGGTCAGAAGGATTTACACCCAAGCCGGACGCGGATCTATGGGCGCATCCTTTCTGATTCCCACTAGATCAGCAGCAGCTTCTTGAATTTCGGACGCTCTTGGGAATTCGCGGGGTGGTAGTTCTCGGACTGCAGACGCCTCTGAGGGCTGCACGCAACGCTGAAATGCTGGCGAGCTGGTGTCGTTGACATGACCTGAAAGGGCGACATGTAGTCGCATCTGACTGGTCTCGGACGCACGTTGAGCTTAGAGGTCGTCGTCATGCTTGGCACTGGGCGCACGAATTCTGGGATCAGTTCCACTTCCTGAAGCTGGAGCAGCTTGCAGCAGGCACTCTATAAGCGGGTACTCGGCTGAGGGCAAGCACATAATCTCGCAGAAGCCTCTCCGCCTCTCCACTGGAGACGAAACCGCGCCTCTCAGAGCAGATGCGTTCAGTCTCCAAAGCATCAGCCCGAACAGGCCGGCTGCACAGGAGAAAGATCGGCGGATCAGTGGACAGAAGGTCCAGTCCCCCGGACCTTGCACCCGTGACGAGGCGCGATATGGCACGAGGCTCGTGACCTACTGCGCTTTTGACACACCGCACGGAGCTTTGGATGCCCGGCCACGTGGGGAAGGGAAGGCTGGCATTCTCTGGGCCGAAAAGCCTCGCAGATTCAAAGATATTCAAGGTCAGGTCCAGAATGCACTGTCCACCCAGCAGGGCACGGGCTGGATGCTCTCTGCAGCGACAAGCTGTGTGGCGAAGAAAATCCTGCTCAAGGTCATGATGAAGATCCAGCACACTACTTGCGCAGCATAACACACCTCAGACAAGCGCGAGACCATCCACAAATCTCATGGTCACTATTGTAGAAGTCTGATGCCTTTCCTACGCACAAGACACAGCTCACTGGGCACCTCCACTCCCGAACTCCCATCGGAGAGATCGACCCGGCTCACCATGCCGCCGCAGCGACCATGGGCTTGCACAATGATGCGATGTTGATCTTGAGAACTTTCTTATGAAGGAAAGGGCTAGGCGTGTAGGTGTGGGTGAGAAGGGATCGAGAATACCCACAGTCGGTGCGTGGAAACACAAACTGAGTCCAAAATGTACGTGACATGAACTGCTGACAGGCTATGCTCTTGAGAGACTGTGACAACAGATGAAGGAATTGTGGCAAAACGACCACAGCCTGCCAACTGACCTCCGCTTGTAAAGGAATTCAAGTTTCTCCCGGAAAAGCTTTGAGAGTACGGAACCACGTCAAAGCTCGCATTGGGAGATCATCTCCAGGCTGAGCGAGGTGTGTCTACATGAGACCTGCTCTCCGCCATGGCTTCTTGGTTGAAAGGATGCTGGGACATGTGCAGATGCAAAGCATTGCAAAGCCATGACGGCGGTGCTCACGGCCTCTTGGAGGCGCAAGCACGGGATGCCAGAAAGCAGAGGGCCGCTTGCTTAGGGGCCTTGCATCGACCTGTAAGTTACTGCGAGGGTCAAAACACAGGGAGAGACGGGACTCGAACATGTGGGGAGTGGAGCAGCGCAAGAGGGGCAGGGACGACAGAAAAGACAGAGGAAGAGAACGGAAGCTTTCTGTACAGTGATACCGGGGCATGACCGGTGCACGCCCCGAAAAAAGGAGGCACAGACCTGTGGCAGCGACTCTTGGAGTGGCAGCGCATCTTGCATCGCACAGATCACTAGCGACCTGTTTTGCAATTCGATATAGAAATACATCTCGCTATGCTTTTCATGGGAAACCGTCGTCTGCAACCGTTGCTGGCTGGGCGACTTAAAAGCACCATCATCCAAGAGACAAGTTTTGCATGATCTCCACTGATGGTTCCAGAGAAGGGCCGAACAAAGACTTGAAATCCTGATTTTGCGTCCCGTCGAAGCGTTCACACAGAGGCTCTTTCTCTCAAAGTCGTCCCCCCCAAATAGCGGGCCTTGAAGCTCAGAGGGTCAAAGACGGGGCGGCTTCCAAGGCCTCCGCTTTGGAGCGCTCGGCCTCAGCCTCGGCCTTGGCCTCCTCGGCCTCCTCCCGCTCCGCCTCGTCGTCGCCCGCTTCGATCTCCAGCTCCTCCAGAGAGGAATCGGAGGGAGAGGGAGGGAGGAAGGGAAGTCTGGAAGAAAACAGTCTTCAACCTCCTTTTGTAACTAGCAGAGGGGTCTGCGGGGCATCTCGGAGCCGCACCCTTTCTAGGCTACCCTTCGCCCCCACTGCAGGGGCTCCTCCTTCTCCAAGCCAACGATTGCAGAGGATTCGCGCGACAGCATCACCTTGCCCCAGCGGAGCCAGGAAAAGAGCCGCGTGACCAGCCATTGGCCAAGCAGCGCCGCGGCTGAGATTCCCAAGCCAATGGCAAACCAAACAATGACAACAATACCATGCGGTTGCGTGTGTAGGTCAGGGTTTGCAGAAACCAAGCTCAGTCCTGGCAGGTGCATACCGGTGCATCATTGAGGCAGAGCACTTCCGCTTCTAAGACAAACCTCTTCATGATGCTGGAGGCTATTGAGACGACATAAACTCATAATCCGGACAAGGCCCATATGCCTTATGCGACTTATCACACAGAACCAACGTGGAAGGCCGAGCCTGTATGCCACAGTGCTGCAACGGGTAGGATCATGAGGCCAAACAAATTCTGGCTGGCATGGGCCAGCCGGTTGTCAGTTGGAAAGCCGCGACGTCTCACCATCAGAAGCTTTGGCAGCCGGGAGTGCAGGTCCAGCTGGCGAGCCAGCATCTGGAAGATCACTCCAATGGGATTGATGGGAGCAAACCTTGCGCAATCCATGGAACAAGCCGGAGGCCTCAACCCCACTTAACGCCTGTGTTCCTGATCCTGCTTCTGCATCTTCTGGCAGCACCTATGAGTCTATGAGTCTCTAAGCTCACAGCAGAGGAATTCCTCGCCATAAGTCCTACGTGCTGACGTGCATCTCTACTTTCTTCTGCTTCCGGTCAGTCGGGTTTGGAAGAGCCGCTGCAGATTTGCATCCATGTCGTCTGTCTTTCTCCCTCTCATTCTCCCTCACTCTCGCTCCCAGGTGTGCGAACAAACAAGGAGAAACCTCGGTTCTGATGCAAGCCTGGCACAAGACCATAACCAAGAAATTGAGCTTCAAAAGCTTTAGCTCGTCCAGAGGATCCATTGGGCGCAGGAGTCGCTGGTCCAAGGGGCCAAAGAGCCCACCAATTACCGTCGCACCCTGGGGATGGTCTTTATCGGTCAAGTAGAGCATCTCTTTTGCCTCTTTCGCATCCTTGCCGTTCTCCTCGCCCTCTTCTTCCAGTCCCAGTTCCTGAGGACAGCGGAAAATTAAAACCCGAGACCTCTTCGGCTGTCTGGAGTGTCTTTCGACATCGGCCTCCACGTTTTCCTGGATGATTTTTGGAGCTTTGAAGGGGAATCCCCTCCAGATATACGGGAGGCCAAGCACTGCTCCATCCAGTAAGAAAATGAAGGCGACGAGCCTTCCGAGTCCTTGTCATGATTACAAGCCTTGAACTTTCGAGTTCATGCTACCAGCTAACACCGAAAGCTGCACACAGCTCATGAGCATTCATGTCCTCGCAGGAATCCACAGCAGCATGCGCAGATGCTGCATCCTCGCCGGGGCTGATCTTTATCGGCATCATCATCCAAATCACGATCCAGCTCGCAGTGCACATGAATCAAGTAGGCCTCATCTTCGCTTGGAGCGAGAGAGCGTCAAGGAACAAGCAATGCGGCCTAGCTTGAAGCTTCTCGGGCCCAGACCAAGAGTGGCACTATGAACAACATGAGAATTTCCACGAAAGGGGCGACGACGAAGAGACCACCAAGCCACGCCTCGAATACCTCGCGTCTCCTCAGCCGCTTCTGCATGACAGCGACAACGACAATGATGCTGGTGGTGACGTTGGTGATGAAGGAAGAAGATGTAGGTGATGATGATTACGATCATGATGATGATGATTATTATTATTCATTATGATGCTGGTGATGATGATGATGATGATGCCGACGATGATGCTGATGGTGCTGATGGTGGTGATGATGGTGATGATGATCTTGATGACGATGACGATGACGACGATGCGCTGCTGCTGGTGACAATGATGAGTCTAGAGACGATAGGATGACGTCATCGGCAAGGGGGGCGGCTCATGCTGACGGCCACGCAGACGAGGATAGCAATGAGAGTGAGGACAATGACGAGGATAGTGACGGCGACCACGGTGACGATGATGGATGATGGGTGGACACATCATGGAAGATGGACCAAGTTTGAGGGTGGATGGAAGATGGAGGATGAAAAGTATAGAATGGCTATGGATGGTGAACGTTGTGCATGATGACTGATGGAAGATGGCAGATGTATGGATGCGACGACTAAGAGAACGCCGACAGCAGCAACAGCAGCAGCAGCAGCAGCAGAAGCAGAAGCAACAACAATTTGCAATTGGACGCGGTGCGAGCGGGCTCAGCACGTGGCGGGCAGTTGCCGCACTGGCACTCTCAACTAGGGAAGATGACAGTGAAACCTCGTTTGTTCAAGATCACTTGACAAGACTCCAATACAAAGCAGAAGCACCTGAAGATAGGAGTGTGGCCGCTCACTTCTGTACAACCTGCAAGCTAATGCTACTCAGAGGGTACCTTCTGCGGGCTTTGTGGTGACTGATGGGCATTTGCACAACTGGTCGACGACACAATGCGGAGTGCTTTTTGGCTCCGTGACTCAAGGCTGTCGTCCTCTTGTGAGGAAGAAAGGTAGCACGTATTGGCTAAAAATGGGTTGGCCGAGCCACCGTTTGTTACACAAAAGCGGCCCGAGGCCCCGCATTCCTGGCCCGAGGCCCCGAGATTACCTATTCCAGCGCCAGGAACTTGACGAGGAGGACCAATCTGTAGATTGCCACCACGAGTTATCGTCCCACTGCTGGCGAGAATTGGCAGCCTCGTCTTTTTGTCTCTTGTCTGAGACATTGCCGTGGTCCTCAGAATGCCGTTTGTCGGGGCGCAGGAGCTTTTGCTTGGCAGGAGTGTCGCCAACTCGATGATCAATGCGCATATTGCGGACCTTTTCCCCTTCGCTCGGCATGTAGATGATGAGCCTGTTGATATGAGGACCGCTGCGTGTCTTTAGGAGCAAAGAATGCCTTCAAGGACCGAGTCCCCTTGTGGACAGATACTGGTGGACATTGTCCCCGGTTCGTCGGGTGAGGGTGCGCCCGTAGCCAGCACAGGCAGACTTGAAAGAGCACAACGCATTGCTGGGGTGCTTTTTCTTGTCGTGCACTTTTCTCCTGCAGAACGGACAGGACTGACCCTTGAGGGTTTGTGCTGAGTGGCCCGCACAGAGGTGGCCAGCCGCATCGCCGACCTCCTGCCAGACATGAGGATGTGCCTGACGCAAGTGGGATTTCACCTTAGTGTGGTCAGGTGTCCAGAAGCCACAGACTATACAGCGATTCTGGAGAATCTGTGCTGAGGACATTGCGGCATTCTGTGCCAACTGCGCCTGAGACGAGCTTTGTACCTCTCGGCGGAGTTCCTGCAATTGCAGCAGCTCTGAGCTTGAGTTGGACAGAGTCCCCGAGAAGGTGATGGTACGCAGAGCGTCCGGTGCGGAGCAGGCCCCCGACAACAGGTGATCTCGCAATCCTTTCCACTGTTTGAATGACTTGTTGCAGGCAGCACATACCGGCATGCCTTCCCTGGCATGAAGCTCCCTGTTGAATTCAGGAGGGATGAATCGGGACAGCGTGTCCCTGTGCATCTTCGAAATGTGCATGCGAAGTCCATGCTCAGTGTCAAACCCAGCCCTGCAAACATGACATGAATGGGCGGGTTGGAGCGAGGCAGGGGTGGCTGCTGGAATGTCCTGGGCCTCCTTCCAATTTTGATGAAGGTCGATGAGTCGATGAGTATGTGGGAGTGCAGGGCAACATCTGCAGCAGCATCTGCGACCTTCCGGGATCTCTTGCGCAGTTTTGCAATGCGGCCTTTCATGCGCCGGATGACTTTAGCCACTGGATCTTGCAGCTTATGAAGCTTGAAAAGATCAGCCGTCGAAATGTGCGTTACGTGGGCCGGCTGATTGAGGACTGAACGTATCTTATGTGCGTACCAGCCGCGGAGATGACGTGCGGATTCAGGAGAGAGGCCGACCTCAGACTCAGGAATACCTGTGACAGCGGTGGCCCAAACAGTAGCAAACCAGACGCTCAGTCGAGTGGGCTGGCAATGCGTCTGTTGTAGATATACCGTCTGACCTGCTGAATTTTCTTGCCTGCCTCTGCAAGCCTGTGACGTAGCGTGAGCATCTCGTAGTTGGCATAGGAGATGATGATGCCGAGATATTTGATCTTGCCCTCGAGTCGGAAGGCGGGGTAGGCCTTACTGGGACCAATCCTCCAATGCTTTTTGAGCTCCCCTGAAGCGTCTGGTAGCCAGCAGGTGTGACGCCTCATGACAGATGGAGCTTCAGTGCCAGATAGTCGCACCATGATCGAGCATTTGGCTGGATTCACTCTCAGACGAAGTCTGCCGACGGCCTCCAGCAAGGCCTGGATCATGCTGTGCGCCGTTTTGTGAAGTCCCGGCGGGAGCGGATGGTCTTGTGAACGGAAATATCGTCGGCATACGGTGAGATGTTGTTGTACCGCCTCCAGCCCGAAAGTGTCAATGAGGAGGCAAAGCAAGCGGCCCGTGAGCACTGAGAACAGCGTGGGCGCGAGTTTGCATCCCTGTTTAATGCCTGCGGTCGTTTCCACCTCAGTGAAGCTGCCCTGCGCGTGGAGGCGATACCTAGAGGAGTGGTGCAGGCCATGGACCAAAAAGATCAAACTCGGATCCACAGAAAGGTCATGCAGCTGGTCGAGTTTTTCCTGGCGCGAAACAGTGTCAAAGGCCTGAGATAAGTCGAGAGCAAAGGTGATACCTCCTACTAGAGCTGGTGGACCGAGTCCCCGTTTTCTGTCCTCCCTGCTTGGTTTCGCCGAGCGACCGATTAAGCGAACCTCCCTCAGACGTTGGATTACTCGGCTTTGTGCATCTGACAGGCCGCGGCCTGGGAGATATGCAAACTGAGGCAGCGGCTTCATG